TCTATCTTAAGTATAAAACCCCTGTCCCTGATGCTTCTCATTGATCCATGTCAGGATATAGCTAGTTGTAGTTGGTCACATTCATTTCATTTGTTTTTTCAGTGTTGGAAGTGTTTTGCTGCTTGTTCATGTAGCTCCGTGGGTTTATATGGAGGATGTAGTTGTTTTTTCTACACACAAGGGATTGGAGTAGCAATGACTAATTACCATGTAATACAGCTCCTGGGCCTCCTCAATATTATATATAGAAACCTTGATCCCTCAAAAGCAAGGGAGATCCCACCACAGAGCTTATTGTAAAGCAAAAAATATCTCCACCACATATAAAGTATTACAATATCATTTTAATCTCATATGAAAAACACACCACATTGAATGAACATTTAAAATACTAAAAACTGGCTTTCCCATCAATGGCTTAGTAAGGAGATAGCGCAGCAAGGGTGGATGTAGATCCAGAGATAATAGGTTAACGGCCGGTGTGTCTGTTATCTCTTTTTGTAGTGTCCATCCATGTGATAAATGCCTCTGTAGCCCTCCAGCTTAGGCTATGTTCCTTTGATATATTGTGTCCATGCAATGATTCATGTCAAAATGTTAGCAATTCCATTCGTATCTTTAGAACAGTATTGCAGACCAGGCCTTCTTAAACTTTCTCCACTTGTGACCCCTTTTTGGCCGAAGAAATTGTTACGTGACCCCAGCGTAGGTCAGTGTCTCTCTCCTCTTCCCCCCCAGCGTCGGTCAGTGTCTCTCTCCAACGTCGGTCAATGTCTCTCTCCTCTTCCCCCCCAGCGTCGGTCAGTGTCTCTCTCCAACGTCGGTCAATGTCTCTCTCCTCTTCCCCCCCAGCGTCGGTCAGTGTCTCTCAAGCTCTGTCAATGTAAAAAGAAAACCCTCCAAAAAAACCTTCCTGAGCACATGTGCTCGGGAAGTTACCGGGAAGTGCACAGGGGGGCCCGCGACCTTAACAACTACACTGCACTTTAAACGAAAATTTAAAAAATCTGGCGGTCCTGGCCGGGGATTCAGATCGCGACCCCCGCCTGTTCACTTGCGTGACCCCCATATGGGGTCGCGAACCACACTTTAAGAAGCACTGTTGTAGACCACTTGGATATCCACCTAAAGAGAAAACATACCAGGATTGGAGCGATCTCAAAACACGGCTACGGAGATAAAAAAGTGACCCCCTGGTCAGAATGTAGTCACGATACACATCCAACACTATGCCGTTTTGAAAGTGAATAGCGGGCTGAGGGAGTCTCTATAAAGTACGGCCATACTGATGAGAAAAAGATGGATACATACTCATCTTTAAAATAAGAGATTGTTCATATCCCTCACCCGTTCATGTCAGCAGTCGTTGCCGATACAGCAGCTTCTCTATTAGTCTCTGTGTGTCTTTACATGCCATCCATCGGTAAAGCAGGACTGCGCGCTACACCCTAACGCATTTCTTCCCTGATGAAGCTCTAAGGGGCTTTGTCAGAGTATTTTTAATTAGTTCTATGTGGTGTGTTTTTCATATGAGATTAAAATGATATTGTAATACCTTTAATTATATGTGGTTAAGATATTTTTTGATATACAATAAGCTCGGTGGTGGGATCTCCCTCGCTTTCGAGGGATGTAGATGTTTGTTTAAAAAAAAATACAAAGAAATCTATTATTTTATAACATATATTTTTTATTGTATGTCTCTGTTAATGTGTGAAAAAAGTCAAAGCGTGTTTATAAATGTAAATAATACAGCTGAACCCTGTTCATTTTTGACTTTCAGTCAGTGTTTTGTTTTTTTACATGGGTCCACAATCACGATTGAAGATAACATTGTAATTAAAATATTGTTTTCTTTTGAGCAATATTGAGAACATTAAGGGGTCTATTTAGAAGTAATTGTATATATCCGAGAACATTGGTTTTGTGAGAATGACTCTAAAATGAGCATTCTTAATATATTATCTTTTCAGGTCAAATGTATTGTAATGTCATACTGGATTATGGCCACTAGATGGAGGTGAGGAGCATAGTATTTCATGTGCACCTCTGCTCCACCTAATGGCCATAATGCAGTATTGCATCACAATACTTTTGACCTGAAATGAAAATATATTAAGAATAATAAAATATATTAAGGATGCTCATTTTAGTCCATTATTCTCACAAAACCAATGTTCACAGATACTGTACATGTTAATACATCGACCTTGAACTAATCCTACCGTTTTACGGGGAAACCAGTGAAAGGAGGGTATCATTAGTGTTAGATAAGAATAATATCCGTACCATGTTACACGTGTTGATACATTTATTGTGCATCATTCCTAGCATCATCCAACCCACTTCCTCAAAGCCCGGACATGCCCCCTGGGTGCAAGACACTATGTCGCCCCTGACTCACAATACAACGATGCAGAGAACAGCAGTGGCTACATTACAGTATCACTTGCCTACATCATTGAGGAGAGAGAAGACGCCACAACTTAGTACAGGTAAGTTATTACATTAGGGAAAATAAAACCATTATGCACTTACAAGGATACTTGTAGCAACCGGCACGGAGGGTATGTAGGTTGAAAGTCACTTCTTGTATAAACAGCCAATACACAGAGGAATGCTTTGAAGCCCAATGCTTTGAAAAGGAGCTTCAGGGGCTTGTTTCCACCAGCCCGCACGTCTACCGCAATGTCACAATGTCATGTGCCCAGAACGCAAGAGATTGCAAACATATATTTATATATATATATATCACCCCATCAAACTGTTAAAAAAGAAGAGGCAAGAGTGCACTCACACATGGTAGAATGGTATTGCCGCTTGTCATGAACACTTGTCTAATCCAGGGGTCAAAATGTCAAGTCCTGAGCTACTAGCCAGGCTTTAAAAGTTACTCGCCACCAGTTGCCCACCTAACCAAGTTTTCGACTCGGAGCTCAGTGAAGAGCTGGGGCTGAAAGAATGGAGAGCCCAGCAGGAGCAGCTGCTCCCACGAGTCAGGTACGCGGTCTGAGACCGCAACCCTGACTGAATTTCCACTCGCCAAATGCGAGCAAGCGAGTGGAAATTTTGAGCCCTGGTCTAATCAATCCTGTCTGTGTTCATTTCTGAACTGAAAGCCATCCCCTGGGGTAGGAGTAGGCAGTGGGGGGCTTGTGGCTGTGTACCGGGTCCATGATGAACCGGAGAGCAAGTGGACTTGATGGCAGCACTGAAATTGGGCCGGGAAAGCAGCGGCCTGGGACAACTGTCATACAGATGAGGATATGGAGGAGAAAAGATTTCAGTCCCCCACTGCCTACTTCTACTCCAGGAGATGGCGTTCAGCTCAGAGGTGAACATAGATGGGATTGATTAGAAGATCATTTAGGCTGACAAGCGGCAATACCGTTCTACCAAGTGTAAGTGGAATTTTGCTTCTTTTTTACCAGTTTGATTGATTTACACCATCAGCGCATGCTCGCTTGTCTCTGCTCTTCTCCCCCATGGAATAGGTTTAAAGCAGAATTAAACTTTTTTTTTTGCATATATCTATTGCTAGCAAGTAGTAGATATATGAGAAAACATCAAAAATAATTAAAAAGTTACCAAACAGGTTATTACTTACCAGTGGCGTCGCAAGGGGGGGGTGGTGCGGCCCGCACCTGGGTGCCACCATTGGAGGAGTGACACCAAAATGACTGGTATCACCCCCTATGAAAAGTCAGGTCACGAACCAAGAGAACAGTGTCAGCAGAGAGGAGGGGACCTCTCTCTTTCTCTGTCAGCGTCCATCACCAAGATGGCCGCCGGCAGGCACAGTAAGAGGACCGCGAATGCGCGATGACATCACGGCGGGGTGTCACCCGTTCTCCGCTCCGGGTGTCACACGGCCTCAGGACTATCCTGCCTCCGCCGCTCGCTCCCGTACGAAGATCTGAAGATTCTCGGGCGGCAGTGAAGGATCATGGGGCGGGCACATGCGCAGTAGATATCTTCAGCTGGTAGAGGAGGAGAGACACGGTGTAAGTCAATGCACGCAGCCGGCAGCGTGCACGCGGACAGACACCACGGGACACAGGAGACCCAGCAGTGGATCAGAGACCGGCACCAGCGCTGTAGGGACTCCTGAAAACTACAGAAAAGAAGAAGATGTTCACTTACTCCCTGGGCTTCAAAAGCATTCCTCCGCGTATTGCCTGTTACTTTCACCATACATACGCTCCGTGCCGGTTGCTACAAGTATCCTTGTAAGTGCAGCATAGTTTCATTTGATGTTCCCTAATGTAACAAACAAACTTACCGCACTAGGTTGTGGCTCCTTCTCTTTCCTATTTACAGCCACAGGGCACCTCCATCCGTGTACAAGAGGGCTGCACGCCAAAACGGCGACATTCACCAATCCACAAACTGCCCCTTTGTTCTGGACCTTCTTATCCTCATCATTTACATATTTTCCCTACATCATTGAGAGGGCAGGTGAAGCGGAAGAGGAGGACCATGCGTGTCTGACCGGCCAGAAGACATCTTAAAAAAAATGTGTATAGAAACAATATAAAAAAAATACATGCAGGTGGGGGAAGGGGGGGGGGGGAATTCCCCCACCTGCATGTATTTTGGAATTGAGCTTTATTAGGAGACTCCGAAGGGAATTGATCAGATCTGGAGCAGCCAATGAGCTTCTCTCTCTCATTTTCAAATCTTAACTGAACTGAAACGAGAAGCTGATTGGTTGCCATGCACAGCTGCTCCAGTTTTGATCAATCCCCCTCCACATTTACACAAATGTTGCTCAGCTTCTGCACTCCTGGCACGAGTACCTTTGGTCACTTGCGCTAAGTGACGGGAGTGTTGTTGAAGCTGACTTCCAACGTGGTCCCATCAACCGCTGAATCCATATTAGTCCACGGATACAGTCTCTCCCGCACAGACGCAGGCGTTCCCCTGCATGAATTTCCCCGCGTGCCGTAAGATTTCAGTTAAGACTCAAACCGCTTTTCCGATCTTGCTTCACGAAAACGGCTTTTTGGCTGTGTGAATCCTCTCGTGTCTAATAAGAGCAGACCTCCAAGCAAAGCATCTTCCACATTCGGAACATGAAAAGGGCTTCTCTCCCGTGTGAGACCTCTGGTGCCTGACGAGGAGCGACTTAAAAGAAAAATACTTGCCGCAGACAGAACAGGAATACGGCCCCACCCCCGCGTGAGACCTTCGATGCGAGATGAATGGCCCCCTCTGGTCGAAACATTCGCCGCACTCGGGACAGGAGAAAGGCTTCTGGGACACGTGGATCCTCTCGTGGATCACCAGATTTGACCGTTCGCTGAAAAGCTTTCCGCATTCCGAACAGGAATACGGCTTCTGCCCCGTGTGGATCCTCTCGTGTCTAACCAGCGCCGACTTCTGCGCAAAGCACTTACCGCACTCGGAACAGGAATACGGCTTCTCCCCGGTGTGGGTTCTCTGATGTCTAATGAGGAAGGCTCTCCAAGGAAAACATTTCCCGCATTGGAAACATGAATATAGTTTGATCTCAGTGTGGGTCCTCTGGTGGGAGATGAGATCCTCCATCTGGGGAAAACATTCCCCGCATTCGGAACACGGGAAAGCTTCGCCCCCTCGACGCGCTGCGGGATGGGTGCCTGGAGGCAAGTGATCGAGGAAAAACTCATTGCGTGCCAACTGATCGGGCGGTAAATGCGTGCTGGGAAATACCGGATGGAGATTTCGGGGAATGGAGTCGTCTATTGGATAATCTGCCATACAGTCATCTTCTTTTTCATCATCGGGGGAGGTCATAGGATGTTCCTCTACATTAGTCCATGCGTAACGTCCATCTGGGTCAAATAGGAAAACAGAGGCCAATATTGATAGTTACACTGATTTTGGGTCAATATCGTTTTTTTGCCCATTCAGGTCAAAGCGACACGGTCTGTGGAAAGGACCACCCTGACTCACAGACATTCGCCTCTCTAGCGATCACCGGTGATGATTGGTGTTGGCTGGTGTCAGAGTCTAGACCAGTGGTTCTCAACCTGTGTAACCTCAGGACCTACATTTGTCCTTGGTCATTAAATTGCGACCCAAGTCGCACGGCAATGGAACGCACGGCATTGCAGGCGGAAAGTGCGTTTGGGTTGCCATTCAAATGAATGGCAACGCAACGCACCTACCACACCAGAACGCATAGCAGGTGCGATTGCGTGGTACGGTGTGTTGATCGCACAGGACTGTTTGATTAACGCACTGTACTAGTGTGAACGGGCCCTCAAAAACACTGAGACACACACTCGCATACACATATACTCACATCCAGTCTCCCTACCTTACGAGAACTAGATTGGATCCTCAGCCTGGAGTCCAGTGTGTGTGGGCTGCTGTGCTGAGACGGAGCTCCATCCATATGTGCATTGCTGGTACAGCTCCCTTGCATGCCCTGTAGAGGTGGCGGGAGCCAGAATATGACGTCACTCCGGTACAGGCACCTCTACAGGATATGCGAGGAAGCTATAAGCAATGCAGGTATGGATGGGGCTCCCTTGCGGCCCTAACCCACCCCACCATAAGCTGACACTCGGCACTGAGCAGCATATGAATGGCTGCTTGGTGCTGCGCTAGGTGGAGGCTGAGAAGCCTGTCACCTAGAAAAGTGGATGGCACTAGGCGACCCACTGAACTTGGGGTCGCGACCCACTTATGGGTCACGACCCACCAGTTGAGAACCAAGGGTCTAGAGTATATGGTCATTTTAACTTGCTGGGGCCTGGAGTCGCTTCTAGACCCAAGCACTGTCACAAGGGAGGAGGTCACCTGCTCCTACATGGAAGCATTGAGCATTTTGCACCAGCAGAAGTAGAGGGGGAACCCTGGAGATGTGAGGGTGGAGTGAGACGGTGGGGAGGTGGAACATTTCACAGACCTGGATGGGCAAAGTAAGAGAGTATTTTCTAAGCTTATGTGTGTACAATGTGTGTACAGTAATGTAGGCGTGGTGGAGCCATTCAATTGTAACCGATATTGACATGGGAATAGTTTCCATTAGGGATGCACCGATATACCGGCCGCCGAAACATGTCGGCCGAAAATGGCACTTTTGGCATAATTCCGAAAGTGCCATTTTCCTGCCGATACATTGGCGCATCCCTGCTTTCTCTCCTCCCCGCTAGGCGCTGCTCTATGTCCCAGCGGGGAGGAGAGAAAGTGACAGCCGGCCGAGCGCAGCGGGAGGAGAGCACTGTGAGCGGCCGGCGTCTCTCCTCCCACACCGCTCAGCCTCCTATCACAGTCCGGCAGAGCGGTGTGTGGGCGGAGACAGGCCTCGCTGTCACAGGAGGCTGAGCTCTCCTCCCTGCTCTGCTCGCTTAGCCTCCTGTGACAGTGTGTCAGAGAGGAGAGCGAGTGTTTGTACATAATTGAGGACAGAGTATGGTTACTATATCCTCAATTATGAAGGAATGGGAAGTGATTTACATCACTTCCTGTACATTCACGATTGAGGTTAGAGTAAAACACACTCTGTCCTCATGTTATGAATGAACAGGAACACTCAGTTTATAGGATTCCTGATCATTCATAACAGGGGACACAGAAAAAGAGATTGAGGACTCTGTGTTCTCAATCTCTTTTACTATTTTAAAAGGGAAATATCAGGGGTCTGTTTAGACCCCTGATATTTCCCAAAGACCCTAAAAGTAAAAAATTTAAATATTTAATAAAAAAGTAAATTTCCATTTCGGTGCTCCTCTAGTTTCTATCTATGGTTCATCACTTACCTGTGCCAATCGCTGGAGGGCTTTCTTCCTCCTCGCACTGCTCATGTACCCTCACATACATCTCTTTGCCATCTAGAGTTTCAACTTTAATCATAATCAGGTCTTCACCCTGGACACATCATACAGCACAATAAAGTCTCATTTGGGTCAACATTACACCAATTCATATCAGGTCACCTAAAGGGAAACTATAGTCATGTACAGGATTTTAGATATATATGCTTATGTGGTCAGCTGAACGTAAAGAACTGTATCAATGAGTGTTAAAAACCTTCATGTGTATAGATTGTAATAATGACGCACTCAACTGTGACTGGGGCTGTTGGCTAGCCTCCTTCCTATGGACTATGGACCTACGACTATGGAGACCCCCTTCGGACCTCTTGGGGTTACAGGGAGCTTCTATCCCCGATTTATGTGTGGAGTGGATATGCTGCACTCAGTGCACATTATAGGTACAGAATGTGAATCCAGCAGCACTGAAGGGGTTACATTTTTATTATTTGGGGAGTTTAGTTTTCTGTGCTAATATACTGGTTCTGTCCAATAATTAGGCAGGTTTGGACAGAGGTTCCAACAGAGAGGAAGCTGATTTCTGACTGAGGTACCCAGTCGGGGTACCAGGCGGTCTGTCAAAGTCACCACTATGCTGCTCACTGTTCTCCTTGCTGGAGAGGAAGCTGTAGCTGAGGATATGCAGTGCAAGGATCTCCCTGCTTCTGCTTATTTCATTCTGTGGGCTTGTGCTTCCTCCACCTCTCCTTCTGCTGCTTCTTCAGGGGGGGCAGCTCTGACACAAGAAAGCAAAGTCCTGCAACTTTACCAAGATGGCTACCCCCACACAAAGACACAGAGTGGAACAAGAGATGGTAAGTCAGTAGAGGGGGAAAGTTCAGCTCTAGAGATACCACAGGCAATACAGGCGACTAGTCCTTTTTGGGCACAGCTTCCAAAGTTCAGGAAGAATGATATTACCACAAATTGTGTACTGGCTTAAATACGGTTTTCCTTAAGAAAATAATGGAGACATAGAGAACGACTCAGGAAAAAAGCCAGCGGACGACTACTACTATACACATCCACTTACCGATGCTTCCCAAACACATAACTGTCTTTTCCTGCTTTCCAGGTTATGATGACGGGGATCTCAAAGGCCCAGAAACCAACTGGCCTTTATCTCATGATAGCTTAATAAATACAAATACCGGTTTTGGAATATTATGTTCTTTGGCACTCCTATGCGCTGACATATAGATCCATGTTATGAAGGATCTTCATTCAGCATTGCTTCCTTCCTTGCGAGCAGCCTCAAAATTTTTTACCAATTGTATAGTTCTGCATACCTGATAATTCTGTGAGACCTTGTGATGTTCCTGTGTGGAGTCCCGGGAATACAGAGGACGGGGACATCTCTCTGGGGTATTTCTGTTCCTGGATCCATCTGTAGGAAACACACACACTGACTGAATACATTGTTTCTATGTCTTTATATCAGAGGATGTGTGTATCTAGGGGGATCCTCAATACTCAAGAAATGAAAGTCTCCCCTTACCCGGTGATGTGAGGGGCGGCCGGTTCTCCATCATGACGTCCTTGTAGAGATCCTTGTGTCCTTCTAGATACTCCCACTCCTCCATGGAGAAATAGACAGAGACATCCTGACACCTTATAGGAACCTGACACACACAATGATACAGTCACCATCCAGACACATCCCTTGTCTGTTACTGGATAATGTCCCAGAATACCTGGCACCGCTCACCTCTCCCGTCATCAACTCTGTGATCTTCTGGATGACTTCTAAAATCTTCTTGTCGTTGCTTTCAAGTTCCATGGATGGTGGTGGAGGCTCCCTGATAGGGCTCTGAAGTCTGTTCCATCTTCCTGACCAATGAAGGTGGTTACTGGAGGTCACATGCTCGACGGAAGTCTTCTTCACTACTATATAGTCCTGTAAGGTAAAAAAAGAAACACATTACTATTAGGTGTGTTTTAAATGGACCCGCTATGTCTGTTTAAATATGGTAACCAGTGTAAAATATATAGAGATACTAGAAATAAGAGAGATATCATGTGACCTCCCAGAATCCTCCTCACCTCTCCGGTCAGGTCTGTGATTTATTACTAGGGATAAGAGTGATATCATGTGACCTCCCAGAATCCTCCTCACCTCTCCGGTCAGCTCTGTGTTTTATGAATAGAGATAAGAGTGACGTCATGTGATCTCCCACAACCCTCCTCACCTCTCTGGTCAGGTCTGTGTTTAACATCTCTCTGGGGTATTTCTGTTCCTGGATCCATCTGTAGGAAACACACACACTGACTGAATACATTGTTTCTATGTCTTTATATCAGAGGATGTGTGTATCTAGGGGGATCCTCAATACTCAAGAAATGAAAGTCTCCCCTTACCCGGTGATGTGAGGGGCGGCCGGTTCTCCATCATGACGTCCTTGTAGAGATCCTTGTGTCCTTCTAGATACTCCCACTCCTCCATGGAGAAATAGACAGAGACATCCTGACACCTTATAGGAACCTGACACACACAATGATACAGTCACCATCCAGACACATCCCTTGTCTGTTACTGGATAATGTCCCAGAATACCTGGCACCGCTCACCTCTCCCGTCATCAACTCTGTGATCTTCTGGATGACTTCTAAAATCTTCTTGTCGTTGCTTTCAAGTTCCATGGATGGTGGTGGAGGCTCCCTGATAGGGCTCTGAAGTCTGTTCCATCTTCCTGACCAATGAAGGTGGTTACTGGAGGTCACATGCTCGACGGAAGTCTTCTTCACTACTATATAGTCCTGTAAGGTAAAAAAAGAAACACATTACTATTAGGTGTGTTTTAAATGGACCCGCTATGTCTGTTTAAATATGGTAACCAGTGTAAAATATATAGAGATACTAGAAATAAGAGAGATATCATGTGACCTCCCAGAATCCTCCTCACCTCTCCGGTCAGGTCTGTGATTTATTACTAGGGATAAGAGTGATATCATGTGACCTCCCAGAATCCTCCTCACCTCTCCGGTCAGCTCTGTGTTTTATGAATAGAGATAAGAGTGACGTCATGTGATCTCCCACAACCCTCCTCACCTCTCTGGTCAGGTCTGTGTTTTATTAATAGAGATAAGAGTGACGTCATGTGACCCTCCCAGAATCCTCCTCACCTCTCTGGTCAGGTCTGTGTTTTATTAATAGAGATAAGAGTGACGTCATGTGACCTCCCAGAATCCTCCTCACCTCTCCGGTCAGCAGATAGATGATCTCCAGGGTGAGGTTTAATATCCTCTCAGTCATTATCTTTCTTTCCTTTTCTACTTTCTGTGAATCGGCCATAACTGGTAGGTGGGTATAGAAGAACCTCACGATAATAATCCCGTAGTGCAGTGAAGGTCAGTGAGAGAAGACCTAGAATGAAACATACATCCGGTTGGCGACTTTAAAGTAGAATTCTGGGCAAAGAGTTCATGTGGATAAATATTCACTTTTTTATCTGCCAAAGGATATTTTATTTCGGCCAGCTTTTTCCGATACACACAACCCTGCTAGTCAGAAAGACCACTCTGCTACTTCCTGTTTTACTACTACTGCTTCCTGCTCACTGGAAACAAGTTATGTCCAATAAGGAGGCCAGGTGATGAAGGAAGCGCTCTGCTTGTGTTGCACTGTTATCAGTTAGTAGTGCTCCCAAAGATCACTAGGGTGCAGTGTGCTTTTTTTAAAGGAGATAACCTGGCAAGGATAGTAACACAGTGCAGGGGTCAGGAGGACGTATCACACAAAGTGCTGGGGTCAGAAATAAGTAACACAGTACGCAGGGGTCAGAAATAAGTAACACAGTACGCAGGGGTCAGAAATAAGTAACACAGTACGCAGGGGTCAGGAGTAAGTAACACAGTACGCAGGGGTCAGGAGTAAGTAACACAGTTCGCAGGGGTCAGGAGTAAGACGGAGCGCAGGGGTCAGGAGTAATTAACAGTACGCAGGTGTCAGGAGTAAGTACGCAGAGTGCACGGGTAAGGGTAAGTAACGCAGAGTGCAGGGGGTCAGGAGTAAGTAACGCAGAGTGCAGGGGGTCAGGAGTAAGTAACTATCCATTGTTGGTATCAGTGGGAGGAATAGTGCCCCATTATTGGTACCAGGGGGAGGAATAGTGCCCCATTATTGGTACCAGGGGGAGGAATAGTGCCCCATTGTTGGTACCAGGGGGAGGAATAGTGCCCCATTATTTGTACCAGGGGGAGGAATAGTGCCCCATTGTTGGTATCAGTGGGAGAAATAGTGCCCCATTGTTGGTATCAGGGGGAGGAATAGTGCCCAAAGGGTGGGTTAAGCAGAAGCAGAGGGCGGCAGTTTGGGGAACACGGATTTAAAGCAATCACAAAAAGTGCAGATAAAACGTTTCAAGCCACCCAGGACCTCTTGGTCAGTCATGTGATCATGAAAGCCATAATGGGATGCCAGTATAACACTCTTCGAGCAATAGATCTGCATGGAGGATGGATGGTATTTTATCATCCACTTGGAATAAGCGCTGTGTAAACACCGGCAATACTCAGAGTATTGAAAACAATGGAAGTCTTTAATGTTTACATAAGTGTTATATCCCCAGGCTGACACTAATACATACACAATAGCACTTGCAATCAAATCACATATTTTTACATATCTAACTCAATGGGAACTATATGGTATTTGTAGTCATCGAAAATGATCATATTATTTACCAGAAAGTAATCTTTTGAAGTGACTTTTGCATTTTGTTTTACCTTCATGTGTATAAGAGACCATGGACCTACAGCAACCCTGGCACAATCTTCTGACACACATATAATTCATTATTGGAAATAATACCTGTTCCAGGAGGCTTCCCACAGTCTAGACACAGTCCAGGAGCAATGGGCAGAGCAAGGCACTCCAGCACTTCAACTCTTTCTCTGTTGTAAAATTTTTCCTGCTGAGCCACAACAAAATGGCTGCTATTTTATTGCCCTCTCGCAGCCTGCGCCACAAGAAAATGGCCACTCTGCCTACGGGTCCCCGTAGGAACCAATCGGCGCCGTTGCTCTGTAGGCAACAACAGATTGTAAGATACGCAAATCCGCCAGCAGAAGGCGCTGGTCGGCGCTCCTCTCTTGTGTTGTTTGCTCGCACTGGGCGAAGTGTTAGGGGCGGGGCTGAGGGTTCGTATAGGATAATGAGCTCATGAATATTTAGAGGGAATGTGGCTGCCAACAGTTTTTTTGTGTCCATGAGGGAAAGCAGGCGGAGAGGTGTACACATATGCTGGGCCCTCATTTATCAAAGTGGGTTTAAGTGTACCTGTCATGAATGTGGCCAGTTCAAATGCTGCAAAACCTGAAGTGGAAAATGCAATCCAGAGACGTAGGCCACTAAAATGATATGCAGACCTCGACCTTCCTACAAAGTCAATATCAAAGTCACCCATCTTTGTCTCTCCAGTTTCCACAGTGGATAATAAGGCTGCCTATTTAGGAAGTGGCAGAAGGTGACCCCCCCCCCCCCCCCCTTTTTTTTTTTTTTTTTTCCAAAAT